GTGCCCGTTTTATTACAATTATTAAAATAAAAAAACTTCACTCTAATATGTTCATCATTGTAAACATTGTCCCCCACGAGTAACAAACGTGTGTTCACCTCCAGCAACAGGTCCCTCGTGCCATTGTCCATCAGTTCTTGGTGGATTGAAACAGTTGTAATCAGCGTTAAGGTTGTGCTGATTAACACGAGTCCTGCTCGAGTGTGACTCTGATCATTCATCATCGCACAAGTTGTAGAAGAGCTGTGATTAGTGTTCCAATAGTCGGATACACAGAGCCTAACGTCCATTACACTGGTTTTGGGAGACGAGGTACTGCCGCTTGGAAAGTATCTTAAAATATTCAATACTGTTTCATTTCACGTGTTATTGCTATGCTATTTTAGAAGGAATTCAAGAAGAAGCTCCTCCTTTACCCGTAATGAGAATACTGCGTAAAAAGTATTCCATACAATAGTAGTATTTTAAATAGCATTCGTTTTTGACGATAGGGGACACTATTTTAACACCCGAATTTAAACACATTTTATTGATTTAACGCAGTTACTATCGTTTATATATCATTATTGTGTTTTATGCAGCATTTTATTTTCCTACCCTGTTAATATCAAAGTATATTTCAAAAGATATATAATCAATGTCCCGATGTTTAATCTCATCACCAAAAACTACAATTGATCAATAATTCTATGTCTTTATGTTAATCTTCCGCGTTAAAAATTGTAATAGCTTAGGCCCCATGCATTCTTCAATCTCAACCTCAGATAATTTATCCTACCCACATCGGCAACTTAGTTTTAGTGAGAATATTGATTGCTCTCATCTCTGGGTTTATTCTAGAAGTTGAAACCGCCATTATCGCATCAGTAAAGAAAACAGGACTGTGTCGAGCTCCTCCGTGGTGATCAATTCATTCTGAATTTACTGTCCTATGAGATTATTTTTACGTTTTTCTCATGTTGACCTTCACCCAGAAAAAAAAAATATGTGATACTGGACTGCGATTATCCGGCATGTTCCCTAGGGATGTGAACGACCCGTGACCTACTTTGATCCTAGACACGTGGCAAAGTATAAAATACCACTAAATAGGATATTATAATACAACTTAGCAAATTGTGATTGACAATCCCATCATAAGTCATGCGTGATAAAAGTGATTTTAACTCCTTGAATAAAGGAAGTTCACTCAATAAGTTCCGCTACATTCCTATTGAAACAACCGTGGAGATAATGCAATGTGTCCTGGGCCGTATTGAAAAAAGTCCATCGATACCTTTTTAGAAATTAGCTGACAGGGGAGATGTCAGAGTGAAAAGGACAGTAAAATACACCTGACTAGCATTTGATCTCTGACCCTTAATATCAGTTTTAATAAAAATAAGAACAGAGCACTATGAACTTATTGCATTTTGAAATTGCGGAATGAGTATATTAAGTTATTTCTGTCACATTGCAATGACCCTTCAGATGACTCATCAGGATATTTAAATTCCCACTCACCACGGAAATAGGAGGAAGATTATCAAGATGATTGATTATATAAACATAATCACCGAAATTTTAGGAGTAAAATGTAACTTCTAAAAATAGTCTAGTTATTCACAAAAATCTAATTGTAGACTTTTTTCGGCTTTTTTAAAAAAAAAATGCGTTAATTTATACTTTTTAATTTCGTAAATCTCCACACAGTTATTGTTAAGAAATGTATCTTTAAAAAATGTTCGCTTCCAGTAAAAAATAGACATGATACTAAAAGCCCAACTGAAATATCGAATTCCGGAAAGTATGTTTCCTATTTTACAAATTCTTTTAGAACTGTGGTGGACTTGATCGTTTGTTCTGCACACACCAAGCAAGAGTCGCCACATCAGAAGTAACATTTAAAATCTGGGCTATGTTTTTAGCTTTTTATAGCCTGCTTATCATCGTAAATTGGTTGAAAGTAAAAGGAAAAAAAAATCATATTAAATGTTTCTTTTTAAAAGGGTGTTGTTGATCGATTCACTCACTTGTCGGCAACGCTCAATTTGTCTTATTTCAAACGTGTTTGCGGAAGCATTAAAAAAGATTTATAAAATCAATGCAACCTATTTGATTGGAATGGTGAACTATCAGATATAAAAGTTTGCTTGGCATTAACTGATAATTAATCAAAGCTTGAACTAACTTTTAGCATCAAGTTCTTCTATGTTACAGAGATTCAATTTAAAATAAAAGTAAACATAGACCTGTCTTAGCGTATGCTGTTTGCTGTAGAACCGATGAACCTCAGCGCTTAACGCAAACAATACATGTATTCATGTCATTATCAAAATGAAAAATTTGAGAGGGCAAAAAAAACTGAGAATGATTTCTAGAAAGATACGGTTGAGGGTTTCGTGTTAACTAATTGATCATTAGTCTAAAATCAACATCCTCTCTACTTAAATATGTACCAATTAATCAGTAAAAACACATACATTCTTTACATAGAATATGGTACGGAATAGACCTAGACATGTAGGACATTATTCAATTACTTCTAAGGTTCAATAAAATATGAATACTTCATAAAAAAATGTCGGTGCATGCTTTGTCTGCTTTTCTACTGATGACATTTATACATTTCACTTGATAGCACCGAGTTATTATTACGCATTTCTTTTTGTTATAAATAATTTACAAGTGCCTCTTTTAAGCTCTGGCGCATGCAATGACCTTACATTTGATCCAACTACATAAATAATGTGTGGGGACGCATTGTTCCAGGTGATCCGTTCATTAGAGGGTTGAGTCACGAAACTAACACTTTAAGAAATGCTTTTAAATTCCCGCTACGTATTGACTTCCAATACAATTCCTTCTCTTGTCTTCGCCTCAAAGATTTCAACAGAACATTATAGACCGGGCTAAAACTTTTTCTTCGCGATCTAAACATCTTCCGGAAAAGTACATGTAATTTATTTCGCACATGAGTGCATCTGTTAACAAGTGTTTAGTTTATTTCTATTTAATTTTCTTTTTTAAACAATCTCCCCCCCCTCTCTTTTGGAATCTCCGGCGAGATTTACCAAATCTAATTCTTGCACACAAAGCCAGAAGTTCTCAAACGATAAATTACATTGTTTCCAAAAGCTGAAAATTTTAATGCATATATTTTACATGAGATCTATTTGCAACATTTCTATTCTATAGATTTCCTTTGATATTTGATGTAAGTCACGCCTAAGCTCGTCACAGACTTCAAGGCAGTATTCATAAATAGCTATTATTCAGAAATATGGGTTTCAAATGGGTGTGACTTGATAATTTTATAATGACAGTTTTATGATTTTAAAGTAAAATTTGTAGATGTGGACGGACTCAATAAATTTTAAATCCTGAAATCCTCCACTAATCTACCATTCTTGAAACTAAATACAATCGAAAATAATGTTTTTGTTTTTTCTGATAAATACATTTTTAAAAAAAGAGAATTTAAACGCATGTCACTGAACATGAAACATAACTGTTTGAGGAAGTAAAACTTCCCGTCAAATCATTGAAGGAATAGATACTTTGGACGATGGTGACGTACTCGTTTAGAGTAATATTACAACTGCTAGTGTTCAATGGCTGTTAACATTTATTTGCCCAAATAAGGAGGATAACATGATCTGGTAATACTTTTACAAATAAAGAGCATAACATTATCTGGTAATTTTTTGCCCACAAAGAGAGGATAACATTATTTTTAACGCATCGTCGATGGTTGGACGCATGACAAAGTGATCTTTTTCAACGTGTGATGGATGCTTTATGTCTGCTAGAAGACAATCTGACCAACCAGTGTCACCAATATACCATTCCCCTTTTCAGTATATTGTAATAGTACCCTTATTTGGAAGAGAAATCTGATTTTTTGTGTGTGTGGGTATCCGGCATTATGTTCGGCGTTCGGTTACGTCATAGCTTGTCTGTGGGTTCAATTTGTACCATTATTATTTTATTATTAACTTTATTTCACTTGTCAGTGTTAGCAACAACGTCTTAAAATATATTACTATTTGATTATGATCAGCTGGTAACAATTCTGTCCCCCCTCCCCCACAAATATTTCCTTATATCGAGAAACCTTAATTCATTGCCATTTTGTTTTTCTTCTTTTAAATAAGTGTTTTCAAAATAATACTTTCGTTTAGGCAAGACATTGTTTTCTTTTTCTATAGTTATTGTTGGACCGAAGCTAAAAACAATTAGGTTTCAATTCTAGATATTTACATTTTTTTTTAGTATATATTTATTATGATTGATGTACAGAACTTGAGCATGGGGAAAAGTAAATTAATATCTGCTTTTCATTTGTTCCAAGTTTCAAATGGATCATTGATTTTTTGTAAAGTGACAAAGCGTTTTTGGCTTGTGAACATTTGTATTTAATATAGAAACGGATGGCGCGCGCTTTTACAGGGCGTAAATGTGCATACGTAATTTACGCTGCAGACACCTTTCCATTGGTTGATGAACCGTCAAAAAAAAATATTGACGCATCGAATTTTTATTAGCGTTTACAGTTATGTCATGGGAACATGTATGAGTGTGGCGAAGCGTTTCTTGTTATGTTGGAGAGTGTTTTACAAAGGAAGGGCTCCGCAGAAAAAAAAATTGTTAATACTGTTTTTATATTCCATCAATCCATCACTGTGGCGCTACAGCCTGCCTCGCCACTTCTTTCCACCCAGATCTGATTCTTTTCTTTTCCACGCTTAGATTACCAGCTGCTGTAGATCTTTTTCCACATCAGCCATCCATCTAAGCCTGGGTCTGCCTCTGAGCAGTTTTCCCTGTGGGCTTCGGGGGTGCATCGTAATTCACTCCTGTGTCATTTGGGATTCTTTCTAAGAAAGCATAGCCTGCCTTTGTTAAAAAAAAGAATTCCGCTACTAGCGTGGGATCTTGTTATAGACTATACAATTCATGGTTGGTTTATATGTTTTTATTTTACTATGTTAACATATAATAAAAACAATCAAACGTTTGGACTAGATGTGAAATTTATTGTCAAAACACAGCATCTAGATTTAAAGAAATGTACACCACAGTTAGTACGTTAGGATTATTGCAACAGAAATAGTTGAACACGAACAGGGATGTCCTGTTTTTAAATACAAAGGTGAAGTTATATGAACGGAAGCATTTGGTGAACAGATTAAGTAATCCCCTTAAACAAGTGTCATTTGTTTAACAAGATGTTTTAAAATATTATAAAATGTGTGTTATAATCAGATATTTCTCTGTTTATGTTTAGTGTAAAAAAAATCAAAACACATTTCAGAACATTGTAGCAGTAGACATGTCATTGTTATGATATTTAAAAAAAAAATTAATCAGCTTTGTTTCTTGAAGTAGATTTCAATATTTTCAATAACTCTTTATTTCTTAATTTGATGGAAACAGTTAAGGCATTGCTATACAAATACTTTATAATCATCAAAGCATACCCAATAATATAACAATGTATATTTCATATAATCATATATAATTAGCTAGAGATAAGTCTTTAAAATAAACAATGAAGACCTATGAGGTCATAACAATTTTTTTTTTAAAGTATGGAAACGAAGTATACCCTCTTGATTTTATTTTGAAATAAAATGTTTGTGTTCAATATTAAGATACATATGTATCAAACAAATGTAATTTAATCCATAACACATATAAATAAGAATAGGATATTTTTGCAAGCCAAATAGAATTGTTTAATTTTTTTACTATTAACCTTTTATTAAACTTTTATCTGTAATCTCATATTATGGGTATTTAAAAAAAAGAAATTGTAAATTTTAAGCTGCTTTGTAATACACATAGTCTTCTCAGGAACTAAAAAAGGTGATATGGAAGTGTTACATTCAGATGCTTGTTGGGGACTCAAAGTGATGTGACATTTTGGCATGTAGTACCCACTTTCACTTTAGTAAATATGTCTTTCTTTAGTGTAAATCTATCCATTTTTATTTACCCATCATATAAATTAAAAGCATTATTTTTTCATAATGCAACTTTAAAATATAAATGGAAGCTTTGCTTTGAAATAATCCATTCAAAAAGATAAATATTAGTTCCGTATGAGTATGTTATACAAATTCTAATTCAAGTGTAATCTGAAATGTTTTCTTTATCAGCTTTTTCTTTAATGTATTTTTTTTTAAAATTATTTTTTTTGATGTTTGAAAAGTATATTATTTACGACTTCAATATCTTGAGTTTAAAAAAAAATCAAATCGTTTATCAATGAAAAAGAATATCAGCAATATTGGACAATTTTAACTTCAAAACAATTGAAACACCAGCTTCTGTTCATAAATATTCCGAATGGAAATGTTTTTGTTTTTTTGTCTTCTCTTTTCTTTAATTTAAAACATTCACATTCAGAGTATTGGAAGGCACAGTGTATTCAGAACAAACCAGGAATCATTTAAGTAAATAATGGGCTTCAGTTTCAGAAGTGGACGCCTGGTTCATCGTTGTGAGATCCCCTCCACCACAAGTGGGTCTCATGATTCGACACGCGACGCACGTGGCCTTGATCAACAGCGACAGGAAAGCGAAGCACAGCAGAGTGGCCAGGTAGATGAACTTGACGTCATCGGTAACCCAGTCTTGGAGTCGGAACAGGCAGGCCGAGAGCGCCACAATGGACACGATGTAAGGCGTCACGGTGTACCTGTCAATGTATATACAGAGCAGACGACAGTGGGTGTATTGAGGTGTGATCGGAAGTGTAGGAGAACCTTCAACTGAGAGTATATTTTTTTTTTAGTTTTTAATCTTTAATTGCTTCCTATGCCTATTTCAGATTTACCGTTTGTAATTTAAAAGAAAAAAAAAATATTTTAAAAAGTTATTTCTTTATCAGATGTTGTCTTTTTGCTAATGGTTATGTTGTTATTTTTTTTACAGTATATATATATATATATATATATATATATATATATATATATATATATATATATATATATATATATATCATTGCTTTATTAATAATTCTATTTAGTATGTACCTTGTAGATCTGTCAATACAGGTGACGTCCAGTAGTAAGTATAGTAGTTGAAATGCTCCTATGACCGACAGGCCAACCTTTCAAAAGAAAACATTGTTAATTTTTAGTTTTAGACCATCAAATTAAAAAAAAATGCTTTCTGGTTGCAGTTCGTCCTTATTTCAACACAAAACAAACGGGATGTTACGCTTTGCGCATTCTCTAAATGACAAGGTTTAGACAATGTATCATTCCAATCTCTGCTTTACCACCTGACAATTAATAACTCAAGGTTCATGATTAATTATGACATTTTTATTTGCAAAAACATTTAATATTTGATTTTCGAGCTCCTGCAAAGTTGGCTCTTTATCTAAGTTTTTCATTAATGACAAGACGGATTATTATCATGTGCGGTCTCAGAGACTACATTTATCGGGTTTGTGATAACCTGATCTGTCTATGACTCAAGGGGTGCATTTTGGAAGTGCGTGGACCTAAAATACCCTTTTGATACTCTCGTGCATGCCCCTAGAAACCCATTGTCGGAATCCAGTTGTATGAAGCGAAAAATACCTATCAAAGATTATTGGCACATTGTCGGGCATTTATTGTTTATGCAGCCATGAAAACCTGTAGAGTACGTGTGTAAGGTTACATCCTTGTAGGTAAGTAGGGCTTTTCACTTTCTTCAGTCGCGAATTCCATCTCCGTTTCCCTTTTAGTATAGGCAGGGTTGTGTTTAATGGGGAATAGAACACTTAACAAACATCCACGATTAGTCAGAATTACCATTTGGCTGACAAGATATTGATCAAAAAAAAATATCCGTTGATAGAATATATAGCTGGTTTCTAATTTAGAAAAAAAATTAATGCAACTAGTATTTGGCCAAAATGTACATATAGAGGTGATCAAATGCAAGTCTTTGATGTAATATATGGAAGAGGATTCAAGATTTCTACGAATCTAAAGAAATGATCAATACTTTTTTTTTTAAAACAGCCTGTTTGTGACTATTTGTAAAATGCATGCGTAACGTATTGTTGAAGCTATGACATGAAATGATATCATATCAAACTATTGAGATTTGAAGCTTTGTATCATAATATACTATAGAAGTAGTGTATTTCATCGAGATCAAAGACTTTGGATCAAACACCGAGATATTGGAATGTGTAATAGAGAAACTCTCGTTTACTTTATTTGTAATGCGAATCCCGTTCAATGGAAGTTGAGAGGTTTTAGCTTAAATATTTTAAAGCCAGAAAAAAAAAGCCTGGAAGCATATCACCATAGAACATACGAAATATAAACAATTTATAACCATAGAACATACGAAAAAGAAACAATTTATCACAATAGAACATACAAAATAATAAACACTTTATCACCATAGAACATACGAAATATAAACAATTTATAACCATAGAAAATACGAAAAAGAAACAATCTATCACCATAGAACATACAAAATAATGAACAATTTATAACCATAGAACATACGAAAAAGAAACAATTTATCACCATAGAACATACAAAATATAAACAATTTATCACCATAGAACATACGAAAAATAAACAATTTATCACCATAGAACATACAAAATATACACAATTTATCATCATAGAACATACGAAATATAAACAATTTATCACCATAGAACATATGAAATATAAACAATTTATCACCATAGAACATACAAAATATAAACAATTTATCACCATAGAACTTACAAAATATAAACAATTTATCACCATAGAACATACGAAATATAAACAATTTATCACCATAGAATATACAAAATATAAACAATTTATCACCATAGAACATACGAAATATAAACAATTGATCACCATAGAACATACAAAATATAAACAATTTAGCATCATAGAACATACAAAATATAAAAAATGTATCACCATAGAACAAACAAAATATAAACAATTTATCACCATAGAACATACAAAATATGAACAATTTATCACCATAGGACTTACGAAATATAAACGATTGATCACCATAGAACATACGAAATATAAACACTTTATCACCATAGAACATACAAAATATAAACACTTTATCACCATAGAACATACAAAATATAAACAATTTATCATCATAGAACATACAAATATAAACAATTTATCACCATAGAACATACGAAATATACACAATTTATCACCATAGAACCTACAAAATATAAACAATTTATCACCATAGAACATTCAAGCACAATTTTCCACCAGGAATTTACCCCCAACAATTATCTTAACAATAAAACGTGTATAGTGCTCTGTGTTACATGCATGCACTCACCGTACTTGAGTTGTCTCCATCAAACTTGATGTCCTTGTGGTGTATGAGAGCCAGTGTGATATTGTAGGCCAGGACAAACACCGCCCACGTGGCTAGAGCGGCCAGACCATTCTGTTTGACCAAAATCAGATTAAAATGTCTAAGTTAAATCAATCTATGCGAAACAAAATAATAAAAATGCTATAACATCTAAGGTTTTTTGTTTTTTATTATTGATGAAAGGGTAATTTAAAGACTACATCTGAGGTTAAGTCGATTTCTCTGCCTAGTTTTGATGTTTATTAGCGAGGGAAATCATCGTTCAAAGTAGAGAATTGCAAAAGGCAGGAATGTTTTGAAGGCCACGTCGTGTCAAATCACGATTTGGGAAAGGGCGCGGGGGGGGGGAGGGGGGGGGAGAAATTTTTGTTGTTTTTTTGTTTATTAATGTATGTATTAATGCATTATTGTGTTTTGTTTAAAAGTGGAATATGAAAATTATTGATACATTTGTTTTTATTTTGTCTGATGTAAATTTAGTTAGTTATTGGCCATAAACATGAAAGCAAAGAACAAATAAAGACAAATATGAAAACAAGAAAACATCACCAGCATGCCGGGTGGATGGGACTCGTTAACTTTGGATGGCACCCTGGGTGGATGGGACACGTTAACTTTGGATGGCACCCCGGGTGGATGGGACCCGTTAACTTTGGATGGCTTTGGATGGCAACCCGGGTGGATGGGACCCATTAACTTTGGATGGCAACCCGGGTGGATGGGACCCGTTAACTTTTGATGGCAACCCGGGTGGATGGGACCCGTTAACTTTGGATGGCCTCCCGGGTGGATGGGACCCGCTAACTTTGGATGGCCTCCCGGGTGGATGGGACACGCTAACTTTGGATTGCATCCCGGATGAATGGGACTCGTTANTGGTACGCGTTAACTTTGGATGGCCCCCCGGGTAGATGGGACTCGTTAACTTGGGATGGCACCCCATGTGGATGGGACCCGTTAACTTTGGATGGCATCCCGGGTGGATGGGACCCGCTAACTTTGGATGGCATCCCGGATGGATGGGACCCGTTAACTTTGGATGGTACCCGGGTGGATGGGACTCGTTAACTTTGGATGACACCCGGGTGGATGGGACTCGTTAACTTTGGATGGCACCCCGGGTGGATGGGACCCGTTAACTTTGGATGGCACGCCGGGTGGATGGGATTCGTTAACTTTGGATGGCGCCCCGGGTGGATGGGACTCGTTAACTTTGCATGGCACCCCGGGTGGATAGGACTTGTTAACTTTGGACGGCACTCCGGGTAGATGGGACTCGTTAACTTTGGAAGGCAGCTCATCTACAAGAGCGCAAACTTGAATCCTGGCGATGGAGTCCTGCGGGCGGTATGACAATGACGCAATACAAATTCCGACAACTCCTTTAACCTAGAGCACACAAAGAGCACAGCGAAACTCACAAGACACACTTTTGGTAATCCACTACAACCTGGTATATTTCAAGTCGTCTTGCCGTTGGCTCAAATTCTCAAGAGCGAGATCATCAAGCTAACAAGAGAGATTGAGCAGAGCAACTCTCCCCAACGTTAAACAAAATACAGCTCAAAACAAAGTTATTCTCCAGTCGAAAGTGTTTTCATTGCACATGTGAATCACATTTCACTAACAATACCTTATACCAGTGGCTACAAATCTCCGAAGAAACAATGCTCTTGGCACGTTCTTGAAAAGAAAAGCCTGCTGCTGATTTTAGGCTCTTTTGACTAATTCGTTTTTCGTCCACTGCCTTATACCATAGTAGCTCTTCATTGATCTGTTTCACTGTTTAGCTTTCCATTGATATGTTTCACTATCTAGCTTTTCATTGATCTTTTTCACTATCTAGCTTTTCATTGATCTGTTTCACTAACTAGCTTTTCATTGATCTGTTTCACTGACCTGAACTAGGAGTCGATGGATCCAAATTTCCGCCCTGCGCTCGGACTTCTCTAGACGATAGACGTTGTTACGTAAACTGTGCGTTGAGAACCCGAAGGAGATCCAGGTCAGCAAGGAAGTGACCAGAATAAAAGGACAAGAGATGGACGTGTACAGTCCTGGGGTGAATAAATCATTGCATTGCATAATAGCAGCAGTTACTCGAGTATTATAATAATAAATACTTTATAACGTCTAATTAATTAACTTGTAATAATTTGTGTGTGTACATTTGTTGGTTTGTTTTTTTGAGTGCGTTTATGTATTTCTGGTTCATAATTAAATTATATTCATTGTAAATGCCATCAGTGGCGAGCCTTGACCAAATGCTCGGGGCGAACTTATAAAATTGCGTCCCTTCAATCGTAAAATGATCACTATGATCCGTATTTTTATTGATGCAGTTGTGAATGAATAATTTTTAAGTTTACTCCTTTGTGAATGCGTGACCAACTTCTCAGCTTTAAATCCCAGCCTAAATTAACGTCTGAAACGCAATATATGAGTAAGTAGATCAAATGGGAAAATACCGGATTCAGGGGGAAAATATACTTTGTTGAATTAACTACTCCAGCCATAGTGGCGCAACTGCCTGTTTCAGCCTCTTCAGACTCCTTGCGGACTTCCCCCCCCCCCGAATCTGTTTTCTCTTGTGGCTAACACATTCCTGGTGGCAACCTTCTGGAAAATACCGGATTCAGGGGGAAAATATTCTTTGTTTAATTAACCACTCCAGCCATAGTGGCGCACCTGCCTGTTTCAGCCCCTTCAGACCCCTTGCGGGCTTCCCCCCCCCCCCCGAATCTGTTTTCTCTTGTGGCTAACACATTCCTGGTGGCAACCTTCCCTGGTGTCAGCCTTCTCTGGTAGTAATCTTCTCTGTTGGCATACTGCTCTGGTAGCAACGTGTCCTTGTGGCACCCTATTCTGGTGGCACCCTATTCTGGTGGCACCCTATTCTGGTGGCAACCATTAATGACGGTAATTTTTTTCGGGTGGCACCAAGCTCTTATATTTAACTACAATCGGATACGAAACGTCTCAAGGGAACTCTGCTAAATGTGTATTTTTCCATTTTTGGTTTCATCCCTGTGATGGTGTCACTTGGTGAAGTCCATTCCCTAGGTTAAAACAAAACACTGCATACGATTATATTGTTTATGTTGTGACAGCACAGTACATGGGTAACTAAAGTTATTGTCACATAAATGCACTTCTTCTTCTTCTATACATTAAGCGCCCAAGATCAATGCATTGATCATTCTGGCTCTTATGTATGTAGAGGGGATTAGCAAAGTTTATGTGCCTGATATTGAAGATGATATTTCACTGGTTGCAAGGACTACTCAGCGAGGGTATCAGGAACGGAGGGTCGGAAGTCCTGAGGCAATAGACGCAAATGTGTCAAGTGTTGTCGCCTCAGCTGTTGCTTTTGAAAGCTTGTTCCAGTCCCTGATTGTCTTTGGCAGGAATGGGCAGATCTTATACTGCCTTCTTGCTGGTAAGAGCCTGAACTGCCTGTCGTAGGATTGGCTTGAAGTTAGTGATTTATTAGCTCTGCCTTTCTTGCTTGTTTTACATGTATATCGTTGGTTTATGGTGTTTTAATATAAGTTTATACGAGCTTGGATTCAGATTTATTCTGTGCTATTTTCAACAAATTTCTATCACCGATTTCCCTTAACTATTGTCGAGGGCGAATCTACAGTTCATTTTATAAATTTTCGGAAAATCTGAAGTGTTAGTTTTATACTGCTCATGTTTGTAGATGACTTCAAACAAACATTTAAAATTAAAACTACACATTTCCAAATGATAATGTAAAATACTTCCTTTCCTGGCAAAGTAGTATCTACAACGGGTTAGAAGATGTCACAGCCTAGAAATCGGTCAGAAATATTGTAAACCTTACGTTACCTAAAGTAAGGCAATAAATGGTACAATGATAAGAATGAGTGACCAGCGTAAACTTATGCTGAAAGTGGCGTTTTCTAAATCGGGAAACACTTAAGCACTTGACATCTCTTTATTTCGGCTCACAGTTAAACACACGACATTGCACCAAGTTTTTCTATGAACTTATTAAAAAAAAACTTAATTACATCAACTTTACGTTGAAATTCAAATACTTAATAAACCAGAAAGCAAAATGGTTAATAGAAATTATTGTAAAAAAAAAATTAAAAAAAAAGACCTCTTTTCAAAATTAAATTCAATTAAATATTTAACCTTGAACTACATTTCGATTTTTTTTTTTTTAAGGAAATAAGTCGCCAAATATTCTTTACAAAACTTACTTTCTTAAATTGAAAAATAAATTGTAATGCTAATATGACAAAACCGACCTGCCAAAGTGCCACACGGGCTGGATGCCCCCTTCCCTCTGCCCCTAGGTTCGACACTGATTACAAGTAATTTTCTTTGAATGGTACATCTTCTTCTTTATTATTTTGAAGCCCCACGATCAATGTATTGATCATTCTATCTCCTATACTTTTGTGTACATGTATAGATAAGCAAAGACGCTTACTGCGCAATGTGAAAGCAAGGACCTCAATATTCCTGGTTAACAAAAAAAAAACAATGGCTCTGAACACATTCGTTTAAAAAGTAGGAACTTACTGTCATAGAGAATGAACCACGCTATAACGAATCCACAGGCAAAGTCGAAGATGAGCAGGACCGGCACCGAGAAGAGAACGGGGCTTGTGTACAACGGGACGCCCGACGTCTTCAGGAAGATGCAGATGATACCGTAGACTGACCACAGCAGCTGCCACAGCAGGATGACCACCCAGATGGGATGGATCCAAGAGGCGGGAGAGATGGGGCTGGGCCGGGTGGTAGCCACGTACTCCAGGTCGTGTAATAGCAGATTGGGTAGCGCTGAGGATGAGACGTTGGGCTGTATGTAGATCTCATATTCAAAACTCACCAATGTTTTAACCAATTCTAATGCATTGCATGTGATTCCCACTGGAAAATCATTTAAAACAGCTTTGCTAAGAATGAGAGTAAAGTACAGGTTGCGACAAAACTACTTAGGTATTATCGGCACTTGGAAAACATGATTGATGATTAAAATGTGACGTCAGAAGTGATTAAGTGCTTGAGCGAAAAAAAAACGAAAAAGAATTTCAAATTAACTGTTAATTAAGCCAATATACATGGCTAATGAATGAGAAAATTTAAGATAAACGAAGTTGGAAATAGAGCTTTAAAACTCTAAACAATTATCAAAGATGAGATTTTTTTCTTGTATATGGATGAGAAAATGATAATGTCTAATTCATTTACACTAGATAATTATCTTGATGTCCGAATATAAGACACAATGCTGTCGTCAGCTAATTCAACTCAGCAGGAGAATATGCTGCTTTTTCTTTTTTTCTTCTTCTTTTTTTTTTTTAAATTATCAATTTTTTTTAGTCTTCAATTTATGCCTTTTTCCTACTTGAAACATTAAAAAATCTCGATTTCCTTATGAACTATACCTAAATAGAATGGCATAGAACCTATACCATGAATGTACGTCCTGGTAATCTGTTGGGAAATAATTGCGTTTTAGTTTTTATACAAAAGATTACGGCAACTGCCGTTTCAAACAGATAATGACGATAATCTCCGACAATAAAAGTCTTTGAATGTCAATGTCTTTATTCTTTATTGTTTCGTGATTTGTCTGCTGATGAAGACATGATGCCGAAATGACCTTTTTATTGTTTCTGTCTTGTTCCACTGTCGTCTTCAATCGGCTGAAACGCAGTCCTCCATATACATTCCTTTTAATTTACCTCGTTTCGAGATTAGTTTTTCCACTATCCTAAATGTTGAGATCTAACACTTTTGTCTCATACAAAAACATTTTAACCAACTCCCCTTGGGTGTGGAGGCATTAAAATACCGCTATACACCTGCCACCACCTGCATAAAATCGATCACATGACCACCAGTGTATAAAAAAAACTAGCGTTTCATTTAAAAATTAAATTCAAGTTATTCTCTGTTGTGCGGACATAATGGTAACAGCCTGTGTTGCGTACAGTTGTTTTACAAGCTACAATACACCTTTAGCTGTATGAGACTTAACAGCTTGGTCTATAGTGCAACCGCATGAGAATCTTAGATTCGGGCATTATTTATACACCTATTTGAGACCCTGGAGCTCTGCCTACAGTGTCCACACATTTGAAACTATTTACATGGGCCATCAGTAGTACAACATTTTATACCCAAAAAGCTCTACCTACATCATACATATATTTGAGATCATGGATCTTGACATACAGTGTACAAAACTATATGACACAAAAGATTTTGAATCACACTGTACACATATTTAATGTGAGACAATATGGCTCAGCCTATGATATACAAATGTTCTTGAACATAGATATCTGCTTACAATGTACACACATCTGAGACCATGTATCTGGACCTACAATGTACACACATTTGGCCCTCAGATGTAATTGCACAGTAAGGAGGACAAACGTGAAACAAATTATGGTTAAACCTGAAAAAGGACGCATAATAACAACAACAACAAAAAATACAAAAAACGAACTTGTCAGCAAGAAGCCTTTTTCAGCGAATAAACAACAGTAAAAGCAATATACAAAATAAATATAAACACATATCTGCAATGTAGTAACCGAGAGTGCAACATTTTACAAAGCATTGAAGTGTTACGTCTTATTGTTAAGGTTTTCCATTATGCTACCTAACTTTTCTCCTTCTACCTAAAATGATTGCAATCTCTCTCTATTATTTTCATATTTGCGCAGTAAATAAACATTTTTTTGTATAATAAACTCCACCAAGGACTGTTTCACTCCAATCCATGAACATTGACCTCTATTTGCGGGAAACACTTGTTTTGGATCGAACAAGCACGCATGGCAGAGTCACTATTAAACAGTTGTATCAGGCAATGGGGTCTCTCAACGAATGAAAAATAAATATATACATTGTGGTCTAATGGGTCGTGAATGTGGTCTAATGGGTCGTGAATGTGGTCCAATGGGTCGTGAATGTGGTCTAATGGGTCGTGAATGTGGTCCAATGGGTCGTGAATGTGGTCTAATGGGTCGTGAATGGGGTCTAATGGGTCGTGAATGTGGTCTAATGGGTCGTGAATGTGGTCCAATGGGTCGTGAATGTGGTCTAATGGGTCGTGAATGTGGTCTAATGGGTCGTGAATGTGGTCTAATGGGTCGTGAATGTGGTCTAATGGGTCGTGAATGTGGTCTAATGGGTCGTGAATGGGGTCTAATGGGTCGTGAATGTGGTCTAATGGGTCGTGAATGTGGTCTAATGGGTCGTGAATGTGGTCCAATGGGTCGTGAATGTGGTCCAATGGGTCGTGAATGTGGTCCAATGGGTCGTGAATGTGGTACAATGGGTCGTGAATGGGCCTCAATGGGTCGTGAATGGGGCTCAATGGGTCGTGAATGTGGTCCATTGGGTCGTGAATGGGGCTCAATGGGTCGTGAATGGGACTCAATGGGTCGTGAATGTGGTCTAATGGGTTGTGTATGGGGCTCAATGGGTCGTGAGTGGGGTCCAATGGGTCGTGAATGTGGTCCAATGGGTCATGAATGTGGTCCAATGGGTCGTGAATGTGGTCCAATGGGTCGTGAATGTGGTCCAATGGGTCGTGAATGGGGCTCAATGGGTCGTGAGTGGGGTCCAATGGGTCCTGAATGGGACCCAATGGGTCGTGAGTAGGGCATAATGGGTAATAAGTGGGACCCAATGGGTAATTAGTGCTACACAATGGGTCATGAGTGGGACCCGATGGGTCATCTGTGGGACCCAATGGGTTGTTAGTAGGGCTCAATGATTCGTGCTTAGGGCCCAATGATTCGTGCTTAGGGCCCAATGGGTCGTGAGTGAGGCAACATGGGTCGAGAGTAAGGCCCAGTGGGACACAATGGGTCATGAGTGAGCCACAATGGGTTTTGAGTGGGCCCCATGGGTTATCAGTGGGACCCAATGGGTCGTGAGTAGAACCCAATGTGTCATGAGTGTGACCCAGTGGCTCATGAGTGGGACACAAAGGGTCATGAGTAGGACACAATGGGCTATGGATGGGGCCCGATGGGTCATGAGTTGGGCCCATTGGGTCGTGAATGCGGCCCGAGTTTGAAAAAATGTTGTCATAACTTATGCACACGTGTTTCATTGCCCGTCCCAATAGTATAATATTTACACAATTAGCACTGTCCCTATGCCTTTCAGCATTTCGATTTTTCGTAATGCTGTTTTTTTAAAACTTGGTTTTCTGAAAAGGGTATTTGAGTAATTCAGGGAAGGAGAAGAGGAGCGCATATCTTTAAAGGTGTGTTTATGATACCTAGTATCTCATTGAAAAAAACAACAACCCAAATGAGCACATCAATCCTTATGACTTTGTCTCCATGTTTGCTGTACTTGTCCTAATTATTTTAATGAGTCACTGTGTTAATAATTAGAGTCTAGAAAAATCAAACAGTTTTTAAAGAAAAGACAATAAAGAAACCAACAAAAACAACAACGAACTAACAAACAACATGTTGAACTATTCCACTCACGTTCCTGAAAGTTGTATTGTCTGGCCAGCGATGAGAACACAACTAGTGTGGTTACTATGGTAACGAATAGGGTGAGTATCAAGCATAGGAGCTGGACTGGATTGTGGTTGGTACTCATTTTGGCTGAAAATCGAATATATACTATTAACATTAATTCCAGCTCTAGCGTCTAAAAATAAATTTCTTATATAAGAAGTAAATACATTTTAAACATCATAAAAAAAATTGTAGTATTTTTTTAATGTGACATTAAGATTTTACAATAAAATAACTGCTCAAAGACTCAAGAATTAAATGGAGAATATCACAATAAAATACGTAAAAGACGAACGCAATAAATGAAATACCAAACAAAAATACAACGAATATTTGGTGTGGTACATACGTTGACACATTAGTGATAGATAAATTGACACATTAGTGATAAATAAATTGACACATTGGTAATACGTATTATTGACAGGCTTAAATGTACTCGCCAATCCAGTTCAAAACCCTGCTGTCATTCCAAATACTCACCTCTACGCGTGTCAACTTGAATCAATTCAGGGATGACTCACACACACCAAACTTAGTCCACTCTGAGGTGAACTCTATTCACCTGGCGCGTGGGCGCACGAGCTAACAACAGATCGATACACAATTGGATGTCTTTTGATTTATTGTTTATCATCTACAAGATGAGCTAGCTTCTCGGATCTTGTAATATAACAAATATACTAGATTAGGTCTAGGTGTGTTTCTTTTATTTCTTAAAACTGAGTTCTTTCTTTTCAGCAAATACACAGCATGCGCTAGAAGTACAAGTACTGAAAAGAAAAGATCGACAATATTTACATGCTGTCAAATGTAAATGTATGTCTCCTGAAAGAAATTAACATACGCCATATGTTGATTTAACATTGGTAAGCGTTACGTAAAGTTCATAGTGTGAATTGCCTTTCTCTAGACAGTGTTCACATGGCTCTAGACAGTGTTCATATGGCTCTAGACAGTGTTCATAACGCTCTACACAGTGTTCATTTGCCTCTAGACAGTGTTCATAGTGCCGTAGACAGTGTTCATATGGCTCTAGACAGTGTTCATATGGCTCTAGACTGTTCATAACGCACTACACAGTGTTCATTTGGCTCTAGACAGTGTTCATAATGCTGTAGACAGTGTTCATATGAACCTAGACAGTTTTCATATGGCTCTAGACAGTGTTCATAACGCTCTACACAGTGTTCATTTGGCTTTAGACAGTGTTCATAATGCTGTAGACAGTGTTCATATCGCTCTAAACAATGGTCGTATCGCTCATATTAATTTTAAAGCATATACTGAATAATTTTCGCTACATTCTCCCGCAAAATGAGACTATATACTCTCATAACATTGCCCGCAAGAGTGCCTTAGGTGGAGTGAGACGCGTATAGTAATGTGTACAACGTGTAATCATTCGTCCAGTAACTTTTTTTTGTTTTTTGTTTTTTGAAGCATGTCAATAGATTCTCGATCGGTATGGCTGGTTGCCCTGTCCCGTCTATTAAACTTGAAAGGTTCTTTTGCAAGACAAAATCTGTTTAAATACTGAAGAAATTATTCGTGCGTGATTCTCATATAGGTCAAAACAGTCACTCGCCAGCAAATTTTGCCCTAACGTTAACAGTGCACTTCCAATACAGCGAAAATTCTCAACAACAGATGGCTTCAACGTGTTACTTGGTGCCATGTTATAAAATCAATCTCGGCATTGCTCTTCCATTTTAAAAAAAAAATTGCTGCCCCTTCCCCACCTCATCCCGTATGAAGGAACAAAAATGTTAAATTATGACAAATGTTCCTCCGTAGAGAAACCGATTTCCAACTGTCCTTAAGTATTTCCAGGACAACCCCGGGTGGATGTAGCTATACACCGTGTGACAAACGCGCTTACGCGTGTAAGATGCGACAGTTTCAGGACTGTTCCTTTTGTTCCATTCTGTACTTTATGGTCAGCTTTGCACCAACCAGCACCAAGGAATGTAAATAACGTGGCTGTTTAATAAGTATGTCGATAAAGTGTAAAATAACTAAACACGCATCAAATTTACTATTATAAACTTCGAAATACATTTAAGATTGGTATGATGAGTGAGACTTTCTAATTAAAATCGTGTACTATATTTTCCTGTAATGTTTTAAGATGTGAGAACGAAGTTTTAAAAAGAAAACCACCCAACAGCGACAAACCATATCACTGGTATCTATTTCAACAAAGAAATGAATCTTATCTTATATTAAAGGTATGTCTAAATTCTGACCTTAATGTCTCTTCGTATCCCTGATATTTATGAAGACTGTCTAAGTTTTAATGTGGTATTATTGGTGATGTAAGACGTAATTACAACCGAGCTACTAACTGTGACCTAAACGCAAGTTGTAATCGATACTATTTATTGCACACGGCTCGTGAGCACGGAGATCCGATAATGTAATTTTATCCCATAAATCAGAGGAGGGGTATTTTGTTATTTTTTTAAAAATTATATATATATATATATATTTAAACCAAGATAGAAAGAGTCAGATTAGCTTCGTCTCTAGTTTCAAATTATGAATAAAATGAGAATACATTAAGTCATAAAAACTGTGAGAAGTAATTGTCGACAATTTTGTCATTCTAACATTAGGGCTTAGTCATTTTAAGCCGCTCTAACAGTAAGTCCTAGACACTTTTAGTCGTTATAAAAGTGATACAGTGAGACTTGGTCTTTTTGAACCGTTCTAACAGAACAGTTAAGACATATGTTACCACACTGATTACAATTTGTTGTGATTGCAGCACGCATTTCTGAAACTGGTTTCAGTTATTGAGCCAGGCAGCTGTTATAAGCTCATTGACAACTAACTTGTGTACAGACCTGGGCAAGATGCATGCAATGTCATCGACGAAAAATATGTACAAATCTCAAAGCGTATGCTGGTCATTTATTTTTTTTGGTGGGGGAGGGGGGTGGGCCTTTTCGCATTTCTATTACTAAGTGTCTCTACGATATCAACTTTTTACAATTGACATTACAGGTGTCTTCCAGTGGATTGATGGCTTAAATGCCGCATCTGTGTTTTTTGAGATGGTAAGATGTGCCACGGAGACTGCGTTTCACAGTCGACAACTGCCTTCTTCGGGATCACTAGCTTTACACGGGGAACTCGTGATTGTACAACTTAGTATTCTTATTCTTATTTAAAATTGCAGTGACAAAAATGAGCACAATTGTTGAAAGACAAGCGAAGCATTTTCAGCTTTTTTTCCCCCCACAGTTAATAATTAAGCTGCCAGGGAAGATAACATTATGTTTTTTTGTTTTTTTTTAATATAGTTTCTTATTCCTATGCAAGCTGTTAACAAAGCTAAAAGGCCCCCCCCCCTACCCAGGACACACAAGTATACAGTGTATACATAGCTGGTATGTGTTATTATAGATAATGACTAGACATACCAGTCAGCACGTCCAGCCGTCACTAAGCATTGTAATCAGAATACAATTAACATCAATACAACATTAATTCAAACTACGCGGACCAGAGCTCTACCAGGAGAGCTAGGCAAAACCAATGGGGGGATGACTAAGGTTATGATCTTGGTTTTACTGTGAATGTGTTTCAAATAATGCCTTATTGCAGATCTTAGAAATTAGACCGACATAATTTAAAAAAAAAAAAAAAAACTTACTCAAATCGAAATGGCAAAACCAATGGGGGGATGACTAAGGTTATGATGTTGGTTTTACTGTGAATGTGTTTCAAAAAATGCCTTATTGCAGATCTTAAAAAATAGACCGACATAATTTAAAAAAAAAAAAAAAACTTACTCAAATCGAAATGTCGCAATGACTGTATTTTATTGATTTGTTAATTGAGAGAGGATGTTAGGATATTAGGATATTAGAATGTTAGGATGTTAGGATATTAGGATGTTAGAATGTTAGGATGTTAGGATATTTGGATGTTAGGATATTAAGATATTAGGATGTTAGGATGGTAGGGTGTTACGATGTTAGGACGTAGCATGGTAGGATAGTAGATGTTAGGATGGTATGACGTTAGGGTGGTAGGATGTTATGAGAGTAGGCTGGTATGATGTTAGGATTTTAGGATGGCGTGATGTTAAGCTGGTAGAATATCCACTTTAAACTGCTTTTTTATAAATAAAATTATCTAATATATTAAATCATTAAAAAACATATCTTTTAGATGAAATAACATTTTCACAAATTGTTTCATTCTATTGAAGAACTTTTTAAACAAAAATATTTAATAACAACAACAACGAGATGACAACGAGATGAAATAATTAAATTCCTATCATTATCTTGTTGTATACTTATATTTTTTTTTACCTTTGAACTAATATCGTTTACTATATACTTTTCAAAGGAAAGTTATCTTAATATAAAAAAAAAATGAGAATATCTTAATTGGATTTAATAAATTGAAATAGTCTAAAGTATTCAATTTAATATAACAACCAATTATAACTTCCAAGTGTTAATTGTTTTATCAACACAAACTGGGTCCAAAGGTTATAGAAAGAAAAAGATAATTGAAATGAAATGTTTAGATTATATTTTATTGTAAAACTCATATTCACCTAATTTAACTTTTTTTAATGTATTTTTTTTTTTAATTAAAAAAAATACAACTAATCCATCGTAGAACACAGAAGAAAAAAAAGCACATAATCTACAGGTGAATATATACGACAAGTGTGTTGTTGAACCAGGCTTAGAGTTACCTTGAGAGTATGAGGTTCTTAATCAATACCCAGCCAACAAGTCAGTGTATGGGTAACGTCACATAAGGCCACAGCCATACAAGGAATAAAATACTAAAACGCTGCGACGAGGGGCCGTAACTCTGCCCCGGCGACACGGCAATAAAGGACCGGTTTATCTCCCCACATCGATGATAGTGTGTAGACGAAACTAATTACCTTCAGTTTTTTATTTGTGTGTGTATGTGTGTGTATATGTGTGTGTGGGGGTGTGGGGTGGGGGGGGGGGGGGGTTTGTGTGTTTTCATGAATACGATTCTAAATAATTCTATTGTTTTCATTCTATTTTTGAGGTGTCCATTTATCGACAGAGAAAGGAATTAAAATAAATAAGCTATAAAGGAAAAGGAAAGATAGAAAATTTATAAAAACAAACTAGAAATTATAATAATAAAAATAAGGAAATGATTTTTCTCAAAAAATTTAAATAGTACATTTGCTTCGTGGATATTTGAAACGTTATCTCTGAAACGATTTTTTCTTCTGAATTTCTCATTTCCCTGTTTTGTTTGCTGACTAGGGAATCTAAAAGTGACGATGGTGGTTTCTTCTTCTTCCAGTCCCCCCAACCCTTTTCCCGAACCCTGTGTTTAAGATTTCTAAATATCCTAAACGAAATTTAACAACAGACATGCAATATTTAACCATGAACTACATTTCGATTTTTTTTTTT